GGAGGAGGGGGTGAAGGGAGGGCAGGGACAAGGGGAAAAAATGAGAATCAAGACCTATTATGTAAAGGTACAGAACCCCAATGATGAATGTAACTGTATTGTATATCTAGATTGTACCAATAACCTCAATAAAAAGAAAAAAATATATATTAAAAAAAAATAAATACTGCCTACTCTTAACCTCTGCTAGAATTCATTCTTTGGTTTTAGAGAACACAGACGTGATGTATCTAGCAGGTTGGGAGTTATATTCCCCTCATATTATTTGGAGGTCCTTTATCATCCCCATATCACACTCCCTATATCACCACTGCAGCCACCCCATCTTCTTAATTTGTTTTTGTTGTGGGTTTTTTTTTTTTTGCTATTATTTGATTTCTTTATATATTCTAGATTAAACCCTTGTCAGGGGTAGAGTTTGTAAATATTTTCTCTTCTCCCATAGGTTATCTCTTCACTGTGTTTCCTTTGCCGGAGCACAAGCTGTTTAGTATGATGTAATCTCATTGCAGATTTTTGCTTTTGTTTCTTGTATTCTGGGGGTCTTATCCAAAAAGTCCTTGCACATTCCAGTGTCAAGCATTTTCCTTACATTTTCTTCTAGTAGTTTTATGGCAGATAGGTAAGTTCATTAGATATCTTGCAGGAGGTTAGACAGGGCCACCCACCCTCAAGGAGCCAACACAGCGAGAAGCCAACATGGAGGACAATCAAGGCACATTCACTGGAGGTCAGAACTGTAAAAGGAGAGAAACTACTATACCTTTGTGCTTGCCTGGGGATAAATAGCAGTAATTGATAGTCTAAATAGGTATCAATCACCTGGGTTGGGGGGCCAAGGTCTTAGCCCAGCTTTCCAGGAAACATCCCTGGCCCCCACCCTCACTGGAAATCCTTGTAGGCTTCCTACCTGACCTGCTCCCCCATTTGACCCCCACTTATTCAGTATTACCTGGGTGACTGTACTTGTCATCTTATTGGCTGGTCATGGTTTTGCCCACCTCATGCCCACCTTGTAATCATCCACTGGTCTTATAGTTGAGTCCCACTTTGTATCCGCCTCACCGCATGGCTCTGCTGTATTAGACATCTTGGAGAAGTGGGGTGTCGCGAGCCGCAATGTCAGAATCCTGCCAGCAGGTCCCAAACCCGAGGGAAGAACAACAGGAGAGCAAACAGTCTCACAGACTTAGTTCCAGGCTCATGCTCTCTTCGTAGCAAGGCCCCGTTTAGTTTTCAGGGTGGAGTATATATATATAGGCTAAAACCGAAACCAAAAGTGTGAATAGGGCATAGCTGATTGCAAAGGTCACAACGCTCTACAAAACAAGTATTATGGGTTACATTTGCTAGGCAACAGGTCAGACCACCAGTTGAACTAGCCCGTTGCTATGGGCGACAGCACGTCCGTGCCAGCGAGGTGACTCAAAGTTCAATCATGGCTGTGCTTATGTCAAGGCTCACCACAGTGGGGTGAGTGGGCAACCCCACAAGCTTTTCTCTCTCTCTCAAAAAAGAAAAAATTCCTACTCTTAACCTCCTTTGTTCCTAGAATTCATTCTTCAATTTTAGAGAACATGAACTCGCGTTTGGATATCTGGCAGGTTTGGGAGTTACATCTCTTCTCCCTATATCAGTTTCATAGTTTTTGGTCTTACACTTAAGTCTTTAATCCATTTTGAGTTAATTTTTTTTTAATATGATGGGAGACTAGGATCTAGTTTCATTATTCTGCATGTAGATATCCCATTTTCCCAGGCCCATTTACTAAAGAGACTCTCACTAGTGTATGCTCTTAGCACCTTTATAAAAAAATCAGTTGGTTATAGATCTAGTTCTGTTAGGTCTAAGGCTGGGTCTAAACTATTTTGTTACATTGATCTATGTATTTCTTTCCTTTGTTTTGTTTAAGAGGCACAGTAAAATTTCATTAGAGAGAATTTTGAATTTAAAAGTATACATTCAAAGAAATATAATGTAGGCCAGAGAAAGAGAGGTGTACTATAGTTTGGAGCTGGAGGTATTTATGTGTTTTTGACTATAGAAATCTATGGAATGTGTGACTCTAGAGTAAGTTTCTTCTTAGGTCTTGAGAAAAGGAGGGCCCACCAGCAGAAAGGTAAAGGATGAATGGCTCACCTACAGGTCAGTGCCAGGGGAAAAGAGGTGGTCTGTTCACAGATGAAAGATGTCCATTTGCAAGTAAAGAGAGTGGTTGAATCCATTTACAGGTGAAAAAGAATTTCCCAGGCTTATTGTGTTCTGGGGAAAAAAAAATAAAGTGGGCTTGTGTCCTGAAGCTGTAGTTTTCATTTTTTAAAATTTTGATTTTCTTTGTCTACTTTATACCTACCGTTATATCTTCTATACTAACTCACTACCTGGGTCCCTGCTCTTCTCTTCCGTGATTTTGACAGAAAGCAGGATAGAAGAGACTTTTCATACAGTGGTTCTGAAAATCGCTCCTGTTATCTCTGAAGAAGGGGAAAAAAAAAGACTCTTGGTTTCTCCAGGAGGGGAACTGGAAAGGTGAGATTTTCCCTAGCATATGTAATGCCATGCTGTTTCAATTATTATAGCTTGTACTACATTTTGAGTTCAAGATCTTTATTGTTTTTGCTCAAGATTGTTTTGCCTAGTCAGTTTTGTGGATTTTTTTGCTATGGTTTCATATAGATTTTAGACGTTTTCCTCTAGTTTTCTGAAGAATATCATTGGCATTTTAATAGTGATTGCATTAAATCTGTAGATCATTTTCAGTAATAAGGATATTCAGTGTTCCAATCTATGAACATGGACTTTCTTTCTTCTTTAAATCTTATTCTTTCTTTTTTTCTTTCTGTCTTCCCTTTATCTCCCACCCTCTTTCCCTCTCTCCCTCTTCTTTCCTTTATTTCTAGTTATTTTTGTTTGTTTGTTAAAGAGACAGTCTTGTTATGTTGCCCAAGCTAGCACCAAATTCCTGGGTCAAACAACCCTCTGCCTTGGCCTCCTGAGTAGCTGGGATGGTAGCCACGAACAACCACGCCTGGCCCACCTTTAATTTCATTTATTAATTTTTATAGCTTTCATTGTAAGGACTGTCGCGTTTGAATAAATTTATTCCTAGGGCTTTATTCTGTAACTATTATAAATGAGTTTGCTTCCTTGATTCTTTCTCGGGTAATTCCCAATTGGCCGATAGAAATACTATTCATTTTTTATATGTTGACTTTGAGTTCTGCAACTCTGCTGAATATATTCATTCAAATAGGTTTTTGGTGGATGTAGGGGGCCCCTGGCAGAGGTGTCAAAGCCTGGGCGTCTGAGGACACAAAGTCTTTGTTGTAATAGTAACAAGTCAGCGTGGAGGGGCACGCGCATGCCGCATGACACTCAAGCTTGTGCAGTTGTTTTGTCTCAGAAAAGCTGATAATAAAGACGTGCCGCTCTTGAGCTCTGCTGGCCCAGCCCTCACGCTCTGCCGCTATCCTTACGTTGTAAAAGTAAAGTCTGGTCCCCGTTTCCTGGCGATGTCTGCTCCAGGCGTGCTCTTTTCTTTGGGAACCTCGCCTGACACCCCCGCTTCAGCCCACCGGCCTGACGGAGGAGTCTTAGAGTTCTGTCTGTGTAAGGAGAGGTCATCTGGCGACCGAGGGTTTCACGGCTTCCTTTCCGAGTGGGGTGCTGTTTCTTTTTTCTCTTTCCTGGTTGTGTGGCGAGGACTTTAGCACCATGTAGAATAAAAAATGACAGAAGTGGGATCCTTGGCTTATTCTAGATCTTGGAGAGAAAACCCAGCTTTTCCCTGTTTGGTGTGATGTTAGCTGTGGACTTGTTATACGTCGCTTTTATTGTGTTGAGGTACATTTCTCCCACTCCAAGTCAGTTCAGAGCTTTATCATGGAGCGATGTTTAATTTTATTAAAATATTTTCTTCATCTGTTGGTACATGCATGTGGCTTTTGTTCCTAGTCTGTTGGTGTGTGGTGAACCTCACTTGCATCTCTAGGAAGAATCCCCTGAACATGACGAATCTTTTATTTTTTTTGTACCGTGGATCAAACTCAGGACTTTGAGCCTTCCAGGTAGGCAAGTGCCACTGAGCTAAATCCCCAACCCATGACAAATCATTTTTGATGTGCTGCCTATTTTCTTTCTCCCTCCATGTGTGGACACAAGGCAATATATATTTAGAGAAGCTAAACTGCTTTACGATTTAAATAACTAAGATTTGATCTCTGACTTTATTCGTTAACTTTTTTTTTTTCCGGCACCAGGGATCTGAACTCAGGACCTTGCACTTGCCAGGCAGGCATGGTACATCTGTGGCCTCCCTCTCTGTTAGGGAACCATGTGAGTTAGGCAAGTTGCCTCGCTTGTCTGGAGCTTCATTTTTATTATGTGCAAAACTAGACTTCATAATGCATACACACAGGATTTACATATGAGCATGAGTTAGTGAATGAAGTCTCAGCCCAGGGCTCATAGCAGATGGCGAAGGAGCCCTCACTCTCTTTAGTCATCAGCGCTCTTGCAAACGTCTGATGGCCCCATCAGCAGAGGAGCAGGGCGATTTGCTAGGACTTCTTAGCAAGATTCAATTTGGAAGAAAGCAAAGGACAATTGATAACTTCCTCAATGTGTTTACTTTTTTACTTTACTTGGTCCAAATCCGTATATTAGATGCCCCTTCCTGATACATACCTCTTAACTATAAATCTTTATTTATTTTTTTTTAAATTTTTTGATGGGGGGGTGTCCTTGCGCTTGCGAGGCAGGTGGCAGAACCACTGAGCTAAGTCCCCGGCCCTCCTTTATGATTTTTTATAGTCTCTACACCTGTTGTAATTTTATTTGGCTTTCTGATTTTTTGGAATGGCCCGAAGACAACCCCAATTAGCAAAACTATGGAACGCTTCGCGAATTTGCGTGTCACCTTCACGCGGGGCCGCGCTCATCTTCTCTGTGTTGTTCCAGTTTTAGAATATGTGCTGCCGAAGGGAGCACTGTAAATCTGACTTTAATTCCCTCTCCCAGTATGAACTCAACCTTGACTCTAACAGGGCCTATTTCCGTACTTTCTCCAAGAATCTTTAAGGAACATTACTGCAGTTAGGTAAGTTAATTAGGTGTCTTGTAGGCAATTACACAGGACCAGCCCCAGAGGAATCAAAATGAAAGACAAAACACATTCTATCCCATTTGATCCCCATTTAATCAATATTACCTGGGTAACTGTATTTGTAGTCTTATTGGTTGATTATGGATTTGTCCCACCTCATGCCCACCTTGCAAATTTCCATTGGTTCTTATTAGTTTCTCCCTTTGGTACCTTGTGGCTTTGCTGCATTGAAACCCCCTGGGAAACGAGGTCCCATGCAACCCACTTTCAGGTCCCCCTTCTGTCTCTTAGAAGCTATCTTCTCTCAATAAATTTTTACTACTCTCTCTCTTTTTTGGGGGGTGCACTGGGGATTGAACTTGGGACCTTGTGCTTGGGAGGCAGGTGGCAGAAACACTGAGCTAAATTCCTGGTCCCGTTTTTCCTACTCTTTTTTTGGGGGGGGTGCTACCAGGGATTGAACTCTGGTCCTTGCGCTTGCAAGGCAGGCCACCGAACCGTTGAGCGAAATCCCTGGCCTAGTTTTTCCTACTCTTAACCTCCGTTTATTCCTAGAATTCATCTTCAAGTTTAGAGAACGCGAACTTGCGTTTCGGATGCCTAGCTGGTTGGGAGTTATAACATTTCCCTCATTTGGATAATTTTTTCTTATTTGAATTGCTTGCTCTGTATCAGGTTTTTGGATTACTTGGTGTCCTATTTCAGTATGATCAGAGCCTCTTCCACAGTCTCCATGGTTACTGTCAAAACACTGCACTGGAGACCTACAGGAGGAAAGAAAGGTGGTTAGGAACTCCCCGAAGGGAGTCTATGTGCACCAGATATTACTTAATAACTGGCCAAACAACTTGTCTAAGAGCTCAAGGTCCTAGCAACTCAACGGGTTACTGAGAGCCTTTTTAGTATAAATGTTGGCCCTGGTATTTCCAGAAGAAATGCATTTATTAAGGGTCACTTCTTGTATATATTTTCCTGGAGGTTGAAAACAAGGCCCTCCTACTGAGCACATTCCCAATCCTTTTAAAAATTGTTTTAAAATTTTGAGATGAAATCTCACTAAATTACTAAATTGCCCAGGCTGAGCTTGAATTTGTGGTTTCCCCCTGCCTCAGCCTCCCAGAGTGCTAGGATTACAGGCATATGACACCATCCTGGCCCAAGAGGCACTTTTTTTGTGTGTTTGTTTCTTTGAGACAACGTCTCACTTTACACAGTATATACAGTCTTTTAGGATGGCCTTGACCTTGTGGCAATCTTCTTGTCTCCGCCTCCCAAGTGTTGGGATTACATGTGTGTACCGCCACAACTGGCCAAAGGGTACTTTTTAAAAAGCATACACCCCTTTTCTAATTGACAATGCTTACTGCGTCCCTTTGGTGGCCTGCTGAGGTTTGAGAATTCTTTCCACTAGATGTCAGTATTGTACTTGAAAAGTAACATTCTCCTTGGGAAGCAGGCTTCTTTTTCTCTAACAGGCAATGCCACCAGGGGATGCAGGTGGGTCTTATCCCAGGATTTTTTTGGGGGGGGTGTTGAGACAGGGTCTTGCTTGCTATGTAGCCCAGGCTGGCCTTGAACTCATGGTGATCCTCCTGCATCAGTCTCCTGAGGGCTAGGATTACAGGTGTGCGCCACCACACTCAGCAACCCAGGATGATTTCTCTCAAAGGAATATCAGGAAAGATTCTGTTGTATAAAACTTAGGATTTGTGGGAAAATAACCTAGATACATCATGTAAAGGTACAAAATCCCAATGATGAATGCAAGTGTATTGTATACCTAAAATGTAATAAACTTAATGGGAAAAAAAGAGTATGGCCTCAGTGCACATCCATTCAGCTATAAATATCTGAAATTTCTCATTCTTTATGACTGAGTACTACTCCATTTTATATAAAAAAAACCCACATCTTCTTTATGCAGTCTCCAGTTGATGGGCAAATGGGCTGTTTCCAAGTTTTAGCTGTTACAAACTGCCGCTGTAAACATGGGTGCACCTATATCACTGCGGTACGATTCTTTTCATTCTTTTGGGAAGATACCTAGTGCAGGAATAGCTGGGTCAAATGGGACCTCTTTTTTTGTTTCTTTCTGGTACCAAGGATTGAACTTGGATCCTTGTGCTTACTAGGCAGGTGATGGAACCACTGAGCTAAATCCCTGGCTCTAATGGGACCTCTAAACCTAGTTCTTTGAGTTATCTTCTTACTGATTGCCACAGAGGCTGCACCAGTCTGCACTCCCACCAACAATGGAGAAGGGTTCCTTTTTCCCCACAGCCCCTCCAGCATTTGTTATTGGTTGATTTCACGACAGCAGACATGCTTTCTGGGATGAGGTGGAATCGCAGTGTTGTTTTCATCTGCGTCTCTCTCGCTCTAAGTGAGACGTGCAAATACCGAATAGTTCTGCTGGTGTCAGAAACTGAAAGTGTCAATAAGGGTCAAAGGGTATAACTGAAATGAACCAGTCTGCTCCCACCAACAATGGAGAAGGGTTCCTTTTTCCCCACAGCCCCTCCAGCATTTGTTATTGGTTGATTTCACGACAGCAGACATGCTTTCTGGGATGAGGTGGAATCGCAGTGTTGTTTTCATCTGCGTCTCTCTCGCTCTAAGTGAGACGTGCAAATACCGAATAGTTCTGCTGGTGTCAGAAACTGAAAGTGTCAATAAGGGTCAAAGGGTATAACTGAAATGGGCAGAAAATGTCCAAAGGGGCAGGGGAGGTGGGAGGGGTAGGAAGAGGGGAAAGGAAAGAAGCAAAAAGAAAAAATATGAGAAATGGTAAAACATGGATGCAAAGTCTTTGTAAATAGGGAAGGGTGGAGGGCAATGGGGAAAATATAAGAACAAGATATATATGTAAGGGTACAAATTTCCAATGATGAATGTCGTATTGTATACCTAAAATGTACCAATAAAATTTTTTTAAAAAGAAAAAAAAAACTATGATTTGGCCATATCCAAAAATATCCAACAGCCAGTAATGGAGGCACATTCCTGTAATTGCAGCACTCAGGAGGCTGAGACAGGAGGATCCCTGCAAGTTCAAGTCCAGCCTGAGCTACATAGTGAGACCCTGTCTCAAATAGAATGAAAAAATCAAAACATGCAAAGCATGCTCAAGAGTGAAAACAGTCAAAGACAATCTAGTAAAGAACTTTTTGTTGCTGTTGTTTGTTTGTTTTTGATTGCAGGGATTGAACTCGGGTCCCTGCGCTTGCAAGGCAGGCGGTGGAAACACTGAGTTAAATCCCCGGCCCCATAAAGAACTTTTAATTCTCTCAGTAGGTCTTTATTTGAAGTTCTTTTGGTGACCTTTTCGTGTCTTTGTGATCTGTGCTGTTTCCAACCCTTTTCTAAGGATGAAAAGTAGTTAGAACACTTCTCCAACTTTCTTCCAATCATTCCTGCATACATAAATATATACACACATATAAGTATATGTTATATACGTTTGTCATCTAATCCTTTAAAACATATAGTTCACTTTTTAAATTATTACATTTGCCAAGCATGGTGGTACACACCTCGATCCCAGCATTTGGGAAGCTGAGGCAGGAACGTCTTAATTTCCAGACCAGCCTGGGTCACACAGCAAAAATCTTGTTAAAAAAATTGTTACACTAAATATTTTTCCATTCAAGGCTTAACAAAGACAAATAAGAACTTTCTTTTTCTTTTTTTGGGTACCAGGGATTGAACTCTGGTCCTTTGCGCTTGTGAGGCAGGCGGCAGAACCACTGAGCTAAATCCACAGCCCTCTTTGTCTTTCATTGTTGAATTTATTAGCAAAATGGGGATGGAGGAAATCTCTCCAGAAGATTGTTTGTGAGATCCTGCAGTTACACAGAAACACACCAGATGGGGGCACCGTGGGATCCCTGCTGTGTGGACAGACAGGCTGCAAGGAGAGCCCAGAGTCCTCCTGCAGGGTCCAAAGCTCAGCTCTGCAACCAGCACAGCCATCAACAAAAACAAGAGAGCAGTCGCAGCACCAGCTCTTACACGTGCTTACTGAACCATGTGGCTGGCCAGACTGTTTAAAGAAAAGACATAGGTGATTTTTTAGTTAGGTAATTTAAAAATCTCCAGTATTTAGAAATTTTCCGAAGTACTTCCTAAAAACTTACACGTGGAAGAGGAAAATATAGTGGAAATTTTAAACGATCCCAAGGAGAATAGAACAAAGATATAAAATTTATGAGATAGGGCTGAACTAGGGAAATTTTAAACAGCAAGTTAAAAACAAAAGCATAGAAGTCTGTAAACAACACAAAAATAAATCACTGAATTGAAAAATGGAAATGAAATTCAAAAACAGGAAAACTAAAGTTAGTGTTTTGGGAAAGATTAATAACTGCATGCCAATAAAATATAACAGGTTGGATCAGAAAGGCAAATTACTTAATTAAAAATTATTAAGATGAACAAAAAATTAAAAGCTTGTTATTCTAAATATCTAACAAAAAACATAACTCAAAATTTAACACCTTTCTACTACACAGCATAGACAATCAAGAAATTAAAAATATGAATATCGGAAGCCGGGCATGGTGGTATACATATATAATCCCAGCTCTCTAGGAGGCTGAGGCAGGAGGATCACAAGTTTGAACCTACCTGGGCAATTTTGCAATTTAGTGAGACCCTGTCTTAAAATATAAAGTAAAAAGAGTTGGGGTTGCAGCTCAGTGCAGAGGCCCTGGGTTCAATTTGCTGTACTTCTTTTTTCTTTCATTTTTTTATTTTACTGTATTTATTTTGTATGTTTGTTTTGGTACTGGGGATTAAACTTGGGTCCTTGTGCTTGTGAGGCAGGTGGCGGACCACTGAGCTAAATCCCTGACCCAATTTTTTATTTTATTTTATTTTTTGAGAC